ACATTTCACATGTTAAAAGAATGGGCTTCCCCTTAATCACAGTTTGTCTTTTCTATTTTTGTGGATTTATGGCCTTATAACAAGGATATACAACTCTTTTCCCCTCTGCTGTACACTGGAAAAATAAAAGTTGTCTTGGGCCACACATTAAATACACAAACACTAACAAAAGAACGATTAGCAAGAAAAATGTCTGATACCACAGATAAGCAAAAAAAAGTCCTCACAAAGTCAGCATGAGGCCCTCAGCCCACAGGTTACACACTTTTGACTTACACTTTTATGAACTCCTAAATCTGCATCTGCTACGCCTCAAAGAATTTTCTAAGTTCAATTTACAGTTTTGGCTGAGAGTTTTCAGTGAATCAATCTTTCAGCAGACTAATTATTTGAGGTCTACACGAAGCCAGACAACGTATTTCCCAGGTGTCCTCCAACTCCGGCCTGCGGGCCACATGCAGCCCGCCTAAGACATTTATCCAGCCCGCCGGGTGTTTTTGCTGCTGCTGCCTGTCCTGCTTAGCAGCCGACTCGTCCTGGGGCCCACAGTCCAGCCCTCCAATGGTTTGAGGGACAGTAAACTGGCCCCCTGTTTAAAAAGTCTGAGGACCCCTAGTACTTCCCATCATGTTAATTGTCTCTTTAATGAAAGCAACTGTTACTCTAATTTCTCACTAATTTCTGTCTTTAGGACAGGAATTTCTCATTTTAACAAGAATAGAGACTAAATAGCCTAATAACTCAATGTTGTTATGTATATTGGGAATATCAAAACATAATATACAGTAAAACTTCTGTAAGTTGACCACTCAAAGGACTGTAACAAACTGGTCAACATATGGAGGTAGTGAACATAAGGAACTAGGCCTACTATACCAAATGTACATGTGGTGCATGTCCAGTCTATGAAAAATAGGTCAACTTAAGGAGGTGGTCACTGTAAGGGAGGTGGTCAGCTATGGAGGTTCTACTTTGAGTCAGGGTGGGAAAATAATCTTTTTTTTTTTTTAAGATAGAGTCTCACTCTGTTGCTCAGGCTAGTGTGCCAAGCTCACAGCAACCTCAAACTCTTGGGTTCAAGTGATCTTCCACCTCAGCCTTCTGAGTAACTGGGACTACAGAACTTATCATAATGCCCAGCTATTTTTAGTAGAGATGGGGTCTTATTCCTGCTCAGGCTGGTCTCAAACTCTTGAGCTCAAGCGAACCTCCTGCCTTGGCCTCCCAGATTGTTAGGTTTATAGGTGTGAGCCACCACACCCTGCCCTTTTGTCTTTATAGCTTAGTCTTTTGAGCTCTTCTGGGGACTGAGTGTTAGCATATAAGCATATATTCTCACTGGACAGATGGCTATTGAAGGTACAGGATAGTAGATTCTCTTTGTTCAGATGCAGAGAGGTCACCTGGACATGACCTTTTGGTACAAATCACTCTTGCCTGAGCTGGGGCCACATGACTTGATCTCTATCGATACCCTCTGTCCAGCAGTTCACTCAGAGAGGAGAGAGGAGTGTGAGGGCAGAGGAAAGGCTAAGAACTCTTCAGATCACCTTGACTTCTCATTCCTCTGGGGCTGGAAAACATGGAGAAGCCAGTTTCCCACATCAGAGGCTCATCATTGTCATCATCACCAAGGCCTTGATTAAATCTGGAAAGAATTCTACACCAAGCATATTGGAGAGAAAGGAGAATGATTTATACTGAATGGACCAGGAGAAAGGGATATAATTTCCTTGTGTAAATACACGGTTAAACCTGGTATGCAAGAACTTAATATTCACCTTTGAGGGCTTTCAAGTAACATCAAAGGTCCATGACACATAGTGTTGGCAGGCTGTCTGACTTGCTACTTAGTTTCTGGTCATAGGTGGAGCTGTCATAAATTGAAAGTTCATTTCCTATAGATGTGATGTTATTTACATTGGGGCTCTGTTCCTGGAAGTCCTTTTAACATTGTAAAACTAGTAAAACATCATAAAAAACAGAACCAATCTATGACTTTACAGAGTTAAGAGTATAAAACCACACATGAAAAAAACTACAGCATGAATAAATATTTCTTTGGGAAATTCTTCTGCATAGCTAATACTGACTGAGGCTTCTTAAAGTTTGAGTCCATTGATGTCAGGGCTGCAGAGACTCTTGCTTCCTGGTCAATGTTCCTGAAGGAGCAAGGATCTTTGAACTTCTTATGATATGACAGACTATAGGGGAAGGGCAAAGCCCCAGCCCCATTCAGGCTATGAAAAGTTTTAACCAAGTGCTCTTCAGTGTCAGCATCAGGCCACTTCAGCATCAACATCTGGGGACAAAGCATAGGTGTGCACATGTCCACATTTGCCTTTGAAAATTGTCACTGCAACTACCCTGTGGCTGTCCATTTTACCCATGGTATTAAAAAATTATCTCTGAGAAAAGATGATTGTTAACAAAATGCATTTAAATTGGCATCTTTCAGAAAAGCACAAGAAAGCTCCAAATTGCTTTCTTTCCTGTAAAAAGAAAATCAAAGTCTCAGGGGCATATGTCTCTTATGCAGAAGAGAAAGTATAGCTGATGCACCTCTGAAGAGCTGGCCCCACATATCTTTCTTTAGGGAAATTTCTTGCTAATCTCCCATAAGCAAAGACATGCAAATTGTGCCTATGTTTAGCACCTAGAACTTAAGCCTGCTGATTCCACACTAATAACAAATTACAAGTTTATCTGACAGGTCTACCCAGGGACATGTACATAACCGATGCTTCCTTTACTCCCTTATTTTATATAAATGTAGATTTCTTGGCTCACAAGAATGTGACCACTTTGCCTCATCAGTTCCCCACCCTACCCCACCCCACCCCAACCACCTCTTTCTCCTTCTTTTTGTTGCCTTTAAAATGCTGAAGGTTGGCTTGGTGCCTGTGGCTCAAGTGGCTAAGGCGCCAGCCACATACACCTAAGGTGGCGGGTTCAAATCCAGCCTGGACCTGCCAAACAACAAAGACGGCTACAACCAAAAAATGGCCAGGCGTTATGGCGGGCACCTGTGGTCCCAGCTACTTGGGAGGCTGAGGCAGGAGACTCGCTTGAGCCCAGGAGTTGGAGGTTGCTGTGAGCTGTGAAGCCATGGCACTCTACCCAGGGGGACAGCTTGAGGCTCTGTCTCAAAAAAAAAAAAAAATGCTGAAGGTTCCCCTGCAGAAAAAACAGCCATAGCTTATCTGTGGTTTGTTATTTTTCCTGGGCATACTCAAAATTTTGGCTTAATAAACCTCCATTGCTTGAGAATTTTGCCTCAGTTACTTACTTGGGCCAACATTTCCCTGTTTTTTCTGTAGGAAACTAGTATTTAAAGGGATGTCTATTAATATTACCCTTCTACCTGATTTCAAATGGAACAGTATCAAATTTGCTCTAGAAGTCCTCTAGATTATACCAACTATATACTCTTTCTGGAGAGTATTCCTTCATGCAATAAAAATGAAGCCCTGTTATTTCTATGGTATGAAATACGTACATGTATGTTCTATATATGAAATAAGGTGTTATGGAATGTGCCATACAGCAGCAGTTCTTAAAATGGCTCCCGGACCCAAAGATCCAGCATCACCCCACCCCACCCACCCCACCCTGAATCAGAAACTCTAGTGTTGGGGCCTTGCAATTTGTTTTAATAAGCCTTCCAGATGATTCTAATGTGTGTCAGAGTTACAGACCCACTGCCATAAACCATCTGCTAGAGGGCACAGGGGTCGAGGTAGGTTGTGGCCTGTAACGAAGCCGCAGTTCAGGACAGGAAAGTTTTCTAGGGGGCATCAGGGGTTTGACCTTCTCAGGTTCTGTTCCTTCCTAACCCCTCTTCTGTTGGCCCATGATGCCACCTACATAAGAGGAATAAACACTAGGAACTAGTGTCACTGTGGTGTGTTCTATGTTCCTGAAGGAATATACTAAGAAAATGCAAAGGGCTTATTGACTGTCCCCTGAGGACCTACCCACCCATTCTCTATTCTTTCAGAAACAGTCAGTTTGAGAACCCATCCCTTCCCCATTCTCAGCATGTGAAAGTTGGGATGGGGAGGGGTATGCCCTTCTCCCGGCTCATTACACCGTTGACACTGGCCTGGCCAGTCAGAGCCCTGTACCCCAGCACGTTCATCAGCTCTGGCTTGGTCTAAGCTGGTCGAATCAGAGGGAATCTAGGACTTCTGAAAGCTGTGACCAGAGGCCGGTTCTTACTGTGAGCCTGGGGGTAGTTGTGAGGCTAACACGGCAGCATCTTCCTGCCGTTCAGAGACAGCAGAGCTGAACGCTGGAGACGGACAGTACTGGCTACACTCGGCCAGCTCTGAATATTGTCATAACTGAAGCTCAAATTGTCTTTGGACTTTTTAGTCAACAAAATGTCCTTTTTTGCTTACTTGTTTCAGCTGGCCTTTGATAATGTGAAAGGATCATAACTGATAACTGGTCGTGTTTCTTTCTCTTCTCCTCCCCTTTTCTTTGATGATTTTACACTAGAAATCTATCTGCTTCGAATCTCTTCATTCTTGCATTCTTTCTATTTACAGCTGCCTAATTTTCCTAGAGCACCGTTTTTCAAATTTTCCTGGCTCAAAAATCATCTATCTCTTCATGACATATGAAGCCTCAGGAATCCGATCTGTTCTCAACTTTCAGAGTCTCCTAATAGGGTTCTCAATTCCAGTGAAATTGTCCCCTTTATTTTATTCCCAAAGATATCACAAGTACTCCTAACTCTTATGAGGTAATTATTTTCTTATTCTTCTCTACTTAACCTAAATCTCAATTTTCTAAAGGTCTAACTCAAGTACTGGCTTCACAAGGAAGCCTTCACCTACCTCTACCATATTCTCAGACTGCCATATTGCTGGTATTGTATTATTATTTATATTTCCATGTACACACATGAACATTATCTCCCTGATAAATATAGCTAGACTCCCTTCTCAAAAAAAAAAACAACCCCAAAACCTGTCAAGTAATTCAGACCTTACCTTCAAATCAAGATGAACAACATTATGAATGTGTAAAAAGTGAACACCTTCTAGAATCTGTCGCATGAGTCTTTGGACATCTTTTTCTTTAAAGGCTTCTTCTCTGTCTGCAACACACTGGTCAAAGATTTCACCCCCAGCAGCACTAGAGGATGGCAAAATTAAAGCAATGTATAACTCATAGGAAAGGAAATGTGAACGCTTACAACAAAACTCAAGAGTCAGTTAATTACAGCAGGAAGTCCTGTGTGCTGTTAATATGGCATTTACAACCCGAAGCAAAACACAGAAGGAGCTGAGCCAACTTAGTCCCAGGCAGCTGGACGTGCGGCAGGAAGTAACACACAGTCCACAAAGTCCTCTGTACACTAAGGCCACAATGAGCCAGCAGCTCCCAGAACTGTCCATGTTCCTCAGCAGAAACAAAGAACTGCATTTTGGCTGAAAAAGTTTCTTAATCACAATCTATTGTCATCTGAGTTCCTCAGCTCCTTCCTATGGCTTGCAACAAAATTCACCAGAGGTCAACTTACAAAAATACAAAGATGTCTTTATCTAAAACGTAAGAGCAATTTATTATTTGTCCTTTCATCATGATGTTTATCCATTCTGGTTTTAACAAAGAGCTTCCTCTCTGTTTTCTCAACAATTGAAATAGTTAATATAAGCACAAAATATAGTGCTAGCTACAGTTTTCTGAAACTTTTCAAGGAGGTACTGCAAAGGCAGCCTATTCTACGAAACGTTTTAAAAGGTAGCCTTGTATAAAATAGTCTTGACGTAACCTTTTACAAAATATATTAAGAACTTTAAACATGAAAGAACTTTCTAGTGGCCCTCAGGAAGTTATAGAATTAAGCATCTCTTGACTAGCATTACTCAGAGCCATATAACTCACGTTGAGAGGCTGAGAGTAACAGTTTCCCCAGCTGCCTACACCTTGACTAGACTGTAGCTCTCAACCTCAGACACTAAATATTCCTTTTTTTTTCTACCTAAACTAGCATTTCCATTTCTATCCTGCTTAGAGGCCTAGTTTAGAGGTTTACTCCTTCACTATTCAAATTCAACAAATATCAATCAAATATCTTAGGCCCTATGCAGTGCCTCAGAAGATAGACAAATGACAAATAAACATGTCTGAGCCGTCAAACACTAGTTGGGGAAAGGAAAGTAAAAGTATTTAACACCAAATACATATGCATAAATATATATGTCTGAAATCATGAGGTGATTTGATACCTTAGCAATTGAGCAATTAATTGGAAAGGAAGGAGGAAAAGAGAGCTTAGAACGATGACATCTGTTTGGGCCCTTGAAGGCTAAGTGATGGTAAGGGCTCATCTCAGGCAGAGTGAGCACCTGTGGACACATTGGGATGGAAAATACATGGTACCAGCACACTCATTAAAGGATAAGTTCCTACTTTCCCCTCCAACCTATGGCATGAAACTTGCTCTCTGGCTAGAAACTAGAAAATTAGGAAAGTATGAAGCAACTATTTTCAGAAATTGGAATAGGCAGTATAAATGGAACCATGAGTCCTGAGTAGGAAAACCAACTAAGTGAACCCTCTCGTCTCCCTGCTTCCTACCAGGGGCAGTTTATGGACAGTGCTACAAGGTGGGGGTGGATCCCAAGGAAAATACTATGGCTTTGCTCAGTTTAGAAAACAGACTGGGAGTTTGCAAGGCTACGGTAGTTGAAATTTGCAGGCAGAGCACCCAGGGAGCCATACAAAGAAAGACCTTCAGAAATCTCAGTAGCATTCTGGAGTCTTCGACCAAATGCACATGGACAGGGCGAAACCCTACAAAGCCAGGCAGAGAACAACTTCCCAGAAGAAGCTGGATGTTTGCCAGTGTTCACAGAGGACAGAGTAAGACATCTGAATTTTCTCTAGTTTGGGTAGAAAAACCACTCTAAATACTTGGGGCGATCAACCAACCCCTCTTTCCTCACCCCAGGAGGGCCATCCTTATTCTTATAGCCAAACTAGCCCTTGACCCGCCCCAATTAAGTTGATCCGTAGTAATTTACCTGCCTGTCAAAACAAACTTCACCATTCTTTAATGGAATAAAAATCTATTTAACACTGTAACATTCTAAATGTACAGCATCCTACCAAAAATTTCTAGATGTCTGAAAATGCCACAAATACAACCCACAACTAAGACAAAAACAAACAAACAAACAATAACAACAGACCCAGAAATGACAAATAATGGAATTGGCAGAGGACTTTAGGTGTTATAAAGATGCTCAAGGACTTAAAGTAAAATTATAAACAAGGAGACAGATAGAAGGTATTAAAAAAACATGAAAGAAACTTCCAGAGATGAAAAACTGTAGTATCTAAAGTGAAAAATTCACTGAATGGTCTTCATAGCAGATCAGACTCTGCAGAAGAATCATTTAATTTTTAAGACATACCAAGAGAAACCATCCAATGTGAAGCAGGGAGGTAGGGGGAGACAGAGCAAAATAAACAGGGACAATATGAAGCAGTTTCACACACTGTAATTGGAGGAAAAGAGAGGTGGGGGCAGGACAATATTAGGAACCATAATGGTTAAAAAAATTAAACTTCCAGATCTGATAAAAACTAAACTCAATGATACAAGTAGCTCAATGAACCCCGAGCAGGATAAACACAAATAAAACCAAGGCACATCAGGCTCAAATCACTGAAAACCAGCAACAAAGAGAAAAATCTTTAAAAAGACACATTTGTAAGGAAACCAAGATCAGAATGATCACAGATTTCCTGTCATAAACAATGCAAGGAAGATGAGGATGGAATGACATCTGTAAGTGCTGGGGAAAAGCAGTGCGCCCAGCATACAGGGCCTGAGGATGGGGAAAGGCTAGCAGGAGATGAGGCAGAGAAGTCAGAGAGGAGCAGGAGAGGAGGGCAAAAGAGCCCCAAAGTGCTGTGCCCGCTTCAGCAGCACATAGACTAAAATTGGAACGATACAGAGAATATCAGCATGGCCCCCACACAAGGATGACATGCAAACTCATGAAGCGTTCCGTATTTTGTGCGGTACCTGTGGCTCAGGGGGTAGGGTGGCAGGTTCAAACCCAGCCCCAGCCAAACTGCAACAAAAAATAGCAGGGTGCCTGTAGTCCTAGCTACTTGGGAGGCTGAGGCAAGAAACTTGCCTAAGCCCAAGAGCTGGAGATGGCTGTGAGTGCCATAGCACTCTACTGAGGTGACAAAGTGAGACTCTGTCTCTAAAAAAAAGAACCCCAAACTGCTGAGGAAGGGAATGAAGTGCTAAATGCCTCCTCCTCCAGGAAGCACTCCTAACCTCCTGCCAGCAGAGACTCTGGACTCACACACTCCTGGACTAAAATCTTGGCTCTGCTACTTGTGTTGCAGCACAACCTTAGGCTGATTATTTCTGAGTTTTTTCTCATATATAAAATCTTGTTTAGTCTAAAATTTGTAATGTGGATTAAAGCAATTTATAAACAAGGTATATAAAATATGTTACCTGGCTGGAAGAGTTAGCAAAGTGCCTGGCACACAGCACCTGCTAACTACATTATGACTATAATACTCTGCTCACACAGCAACTAACAAGAATTTCTAGTAAAACACAACCTTGCCGCAATCATTGACAGGTTGAGTACTCCTTATCCAAAATGCTTGGGACAGAATGTTTCTGACACTTTTGGATTCTGCACATTTGCGTGTGTGTGTGTGTATATATATATATATTTGTATATATATACATCTTGGGGATATGACTGTAAACATAAAATTCATTCATGGGGCTGGACAATTAAATTTGAAAACTCATCCTAGGAAAAGTGCTACACACTTTGTTCTGAGAATCCCTATAGTCCTTTGAAGCACTCCTTGGGAAGCTATGCACCAAGGCCAGTGCCTAGTCCATCCTTCAAAGCAATTTTGGAACTCTCTCTGAAATGGCCATTGGAGCTGTCATTGTGTAAAGTCTGACAATGAAGTCTGTGAACTCATCACAGAAAATGTGCTACATACCTCTTTGCTGAATATCACTATGGTCTCCTTTGAAGTACTCCCCTTGGCCATTTGGTGACCATAGTGATATTTAGCAGTGAGGTACATAACACTTTTTCTAGGATGAGTTTGAGACCTTAACCGTCTGACCCTCTATGTTTTATAACATAACATATAATTTATACATGTAGCCTGAAGGTAACTTTATACAAGAGTTTTAACAATTTTGTACATGAAACAAAATTTGTGTACACTGCCCCATCAGAGAGCAAAGTGTCACTATCTCAGCCGCCCACATGGGTGGGCTCATGGCCCGTTCCCACTTAGGTGTGCCTGCTGTATTAGCACATCCAGCACAGTTACTCTGCCACTGGCTTCCTTCATTCCTATAGGGGCCTAGTCAGTGTCTTTCTAGGGCAACAGATGAGGTCAGGTATAAAATTTTCCACTTTTGGCATCATGTGAGTGCTCAAAAAGTTTTGGATTTTGGAGCATTTCAGATTTCCAGATTAGGGCTGCTCACCTGCATGTCTACCTCCTCTGCTGGACTTCTTGCCCGTGCAGGGAAAGGGCTAAGCCTTTCTCACTTTTTATATTATCAGCACCTATCAGTATCTAGTGCACTAGGCAGGTGCTGCAGGAACGAGTCACTGCTACTGTGATCAGAGCCAGCCCCGTTTCACAACAATGTGGCTGAGCATTTTGATATGTCAGTATTCAGAAGGTATCGCTAAGAATTTCCCTTTAAAAGCAGAACACAATTCTTTTTGGCCAAATCATACACATAGCTGGGCATTATAGCCATACTGATTTTGGTTCTAAAAACCTGATCACTGAAGCAACAGAAACCACCAAAGGTTTCTAAGCAAGGCAATAGTATTACCACATCCATGATTTTGTTACCTATGTAACAGCAGCTGGAGGGATGTCCCAGAACTGAAGCCAAGTAGCTAAGAAGCTACTGGAAGTGGAAGATTTGGTAATTCACCACATTGTAAATGAATGTTAAAGAAGGTAAGGAATCAATGATAACTTGAAAGTTTCTAGCTTAAGTGATAATAAGTGGGGAAACCAATGGAAATGGTTAAAAAAGCAACAGAGGCATTAAAAGGGCAATGCAGGAGCACTGATAGTGAATTGATAACGATCCGCAGTTGGACCACAGGTACAGGTGAGAGGCAGCCAGAGCTCAGGAGACACAGACCTGAATATAATCAGAAATGTAAATACTAGTTGACCCACATAATAGATTGTTATCACCCAGGGTAGACGTGTAAAACATAAAGGTATGATAGGAGTAACTCTGATGGAACTCTGGGGGACACTTACCTTTATGTGGTAGAACAGGGTAAAAAGCTCAGAGAGACGATTATACAAAAAATATGGCTGTGAAAGCCAGGAAAGAACGTATTTCAAGAAAGAAGGTATAATATCAAGTGTTTAAAGACAGTAAGAAGTAGAATGAACGCCAAAATGAGGAGATTGATTTTGGCAAACGGGGCTGGCGACCTTATGGAAGTTTTAGAAGAGCAGATGGCAGCAGATTAAAGTGAATGGGGTGTTGGCTCATGAACAGATGAGTGATCAACGAAGGAGAACAAGCTGACCGACTGGAAGGCGAGCAGTGCTGTGAATTCAGACTATTCTTTTCAGAAGTATGGCAGTAAAGAGAAGAGAAAGGCAGGACAACAGTTTGGGAAGAGCCAAAGTGGAGGATAAAGAATTTTAGGTAGAGAACACAGGCATTAGAAGATGAAGGGACTGAAACTCTCTCTGCAAAGACGTTATATAAATGATCCTTCCAATAGCAAGGAAAGGCAAGAGAGCTATTCAGAGGAGGAGCGGAGGGGCCCCGAGGGAGTGCTTCAAAATCTCCTTGAAGGGAGAACAGGCTGGGTGTCTAATAAAAGGTGGGCAGCAGAGATACTTAAGTGTGGGAGGCATTGATTAGCTCTGATCGGTGGTGTTAAAAGGACATGATGAGAGATTAGGTGAAGAACTGCCAGCTATCCTGTGAGCCCAGCTGAGGATGGTGCTGTTTTACTAAGGACATCAAAAACTCTTCAAGTCCTCCTGAGAATGTGTGGCAGCCTGGGAGGCTGGACACACAGCCTGAGTCCCGGGTTTCCAATGGGCCAGTGAGTTTCAGAGGAAGCCCAGGAAGAAGAGGGAAATAAAGTGAGATGCTGGTGAGAGATTAGTAGAAACAACTCTTAAAGAAGAGGGAAGGAAAAAAGTCAGGAGCTGACTGAAAGGCTCAAGGACTGAGAAGAGTCCCAGGATTAAAGGCTGAAGAGCAGGTTTTGCAAGCACGGGCGATGACGGAGGAGATTTTAGTTGGAGAGCATTTCGGGAGATCTTTTCTAGATCAATTTCCAAGTCTACTTTGATCCTCTCCGAAATAAACTGAGGGGAAAAAAAACCCGCAAAACCCAGCCAGGCAGAGCATTTATAAATGAGATTCTCAAGTCAATTTTAAAAAAACTTTTAACCACTCTACCATTTTTGGACATTTCTATTACTATAAATCAAAAATACACTGTGGCAAACACTTTCATTCTCATGTCTACATTCCATATTTCCTTAGAACAGTGGTTCTCAACCTGTGGGTCATGACCCATAGGAACTGTATGGAAGGGCCGTGGCATTAGGAAGGTTGAGAACCATTGCCTTAGAAGGAATTCCTACAAACAAAATTACCAAAATAAAATACATGAACACATGGCATAGTCCAAGTGTGGAAGGCCTCAGAACCAGGCAGGCTGATGGCATAACTTTTAGTCCCAAAAGCCTCAGGACCTGCCATGGGGATGGGCAAGTCCTACAGTTCAAAGGCAGGCAAGCCTGGAGTTGTGATATTCAAGGCAGAATGAGAAAAGTAGGAGCAAACTGACTGTTTATTTATATTATAAACATTCTAAGAATCACTATTTTCATGTGTATTTAGACAATTTACATTCATGTATGTGCTGTGAGGAATTTCTCTTAAATTATATGCTCTTAAATTATACTACCAAGATTCCTCTTAGCCTTTACCCTCTATAAACTTAAATAAAAACATCATACACATTTTGTACCATGCTTTTTTAAACTTGGCAATACTTTAAATCTTTGTCATTATATTTATATCTACCTTAGCTTTTTTAATGACTGCCTAGCAATTCATTTTATGACATTATTACTTATTTAATCAACTTCTTTCTAATAAGTATTTAGATTATTTCTACCTTTTTGTTATATAGCTGTTATTTAATGAACATTTTTTTTTTTTTTTTTTTTGAGACAGAGCCTCCAGCTGTTGCTCTGGGTAGAGCATCCTGGCATCACAGCTCACAGCAACCTCCAACTCCTGGGCTCAAGCGAGTCTCCTGCCTCAGCCTCCCACTTAGCTTGGCCTACAGGCACCCACCACAATGCCTGGCTATTTCTTGGTTGCTGCCGTCATTGTTGTTTGGCAGGCCCAGGCTGGATTCGAACCCGCAAGCTCAGGTATATGTGGCTGGTGCCTTAGCGGCTTGAGCCATAATGAACATTTTTATCACATATCTTTGCAAAATTGCCTGCTATTTCTCATGAAGAGATTTATAAAAGTGAAATTCCTAGGTTAAAGAGGTTTTTTTTTAAGGGTTTTTTTTTAAGTTTTTTTGTAGACGTAGGGTCTCTCTATGTTGCCCAGGGTAGATTCAAGCAATTTGCCCGTTTTAGCCTCCCAAAATGCTGGGATTATAGGCATAAGCGACTATACTCGGCCCGTAAGTCTTTTGATACATACTTCATATTGTTCTCCAGAAAAGTTATACCAGTTAATACTGCCACTCATGGTATAAATAAGATGGTTCAATCAATGAATATCACTTTTCTTTATAATTTTTACCAATCTGACAGAGGGAAATTGACCACTAATTTACATTCTAAAAATTCTAAGAATCACTATTTTCATGTGTATTTAGACAACAATTTGCATTCATAGATGTGCTGTAAGGAATTTCTCTTCATGGCCTTTATCTATTTTTTTTAAACCAGTGCCAATCACAGTCCTGAACAGCACAATCCCCATGCCATAGTCCTGAATGCAAAGCCCCAAAGATCAAAAATCCCTAAAATCACAATCCTGTATGATTTCAGCCTCAAATGCTGAGATCCTAAAAGTTGAATTCTAGGGAAGGGAATGGTGTGTTTCCAGCTATACTCAGGCGAGGTGCATCACAGTGGCAGAACACTCTGTTGTTGTGTCGTTGTATGGTTTAAAGGAGATACATATGGATGCCAGGGTGACAAGGGGTGAACCAGTGGACTTAATTTTAGTTGCCAACTTGACTGGATTAGGAAATACCTAGACACTTGGTAGAGCATTATTTTGGGTGTGTCTGTGAGAGCACTTCCAGAGATGACGAGTCTGAGTGACGAGGTAGGGAGATCTGAACTCAGATTGGCAGGCACCACCTAATCAGTTGGGACAGACTATTCTCATTCTGCCTTGAACATCACAACTCCAGGCTTGCCTGCCTTTGAACTCCAGGACTTACCCACCCCCATGGCAGGTCCTGAGGCTTTTAGCCTCAGACTGAAAGTTACACCATCAGCCTGCCTGGCTCAGAGCCCTTCCACACTTGGACTATGCCATGCCATCTCATTCCAGTGTCTCTTGCTCACAGACGGCCTACTGTGGGACTTCTCAGCCACTATAAGCGCATGAACCAATTCCTTTAATAAATCCTATTTATCTATTGGCTTTCTCTGGAGAAACCTGACTAATAAAGATTTGGTATTGGAGAAGCCCAATATCATTTTATTCCTTAGATTACGGCAGTCCCCAAACTTTCTGGCACCAGGGACCGTGGCTAGGAGAGGCAATTAGATTGTCATAAGGAGTGTACAATCTAGCTCCCTTGCAAGGACAATTTACAGTAGGGTTTTTGCTCCTGCGGGAGTCTAATGCCACTACTGATGTGACAGCAGGCAGAGGTCAGGTGTGGTTCAAGTCACGGGGAGCGGGTGTCGATACGGACAAAGCTTTGCTTGCTTGCCTGGTGAGCAGCTGGTTCCTAACAGGTCACATATGGGCACTTCAGAGGCCTGCAGCCTTAGAAGACAATGGAAGAGATCTGTGAAACTGTTCCCTTACTTACAAAAAGGCTGTGATTAAGTTAAGCCTCTGAGACTACTTAATGGCAAAAGATAAAAGTTTAAGAACTAATTATTACTGGTGGATTGAAAGTAGAAAATCATTTAATAGCAATGGCCAAGCAATGACCAGACTTTCAAATGGACAGTATATACTTAAAAAAATTGTAGACCACTCTCCAAGTACACATGCAGTGCGTGTTTTGAAGATTAGAGAAGTGAAATGCAGGTGGAAAATACAAGAAATCTCCCCTGACAAATTAATCAATTGTGTACAACTTCTGCCCCTTCACACAAAGCACCACTTCACTATGCTACTCATCTCATCTTCACATTGTTTCTAATACTGGAGGATAAGAGACAGTTCTTTTAGACAGTTCTGAGACACTTTATGCACTTTTTGCAAATTTGACTCCATGAAAGTACATTAACAGAATGCTGATAATGCAGATAATGAAATTTGCTCAGTAAATGAAGTGATTTCTTTTCTTTGTACATTTGCATTTGTGAAGGATAAAATTTCTCAAGATCTTGGCTCTCTGGTTTGTGGCCAATTTCATGAAAAGACTTATGTTGTCTCTCACAGTATTTCAGATGTATAGTTATAATGGTTGGTAAATACAATTATCAGCCATAGTGATATGCATTTATACCAGTGGTTCTCAACCTTCTTAATGCTGCGACCCTTTAATACAGTTCCTGTGGGTCATGACCCACAAGTTGAGAATTGCTGATTTACACAGTTAATTTTTTGATCTATTTCTTATAAATACTGTCTAACGGCTCATAATTGTTATACTTGATAGTATGTTTGACAGTTTATACTTCCTTTATGGACTGTTGATGGTATAACTGAGTGCTTATGCATGCAAAAAATGTTTATTATTATTTAATTATTATCTTTACTGTGTAAAGTGAATTACGAAGTATTCTGTCATGTTTTCAAGATTTTTTATTTACTTAAATTAACATATATTAAAGAAATTTTAGTCATTTTGGTGGAATAGATATTAGAGCTATTTTTCTCTGAGTCCGCCCTTTTCATTTTATTTATGTTTATGAATGTATGAAGGCTTTCAGTGTATTCAGATCTATCAATCTTTTCCTTTGGCAGGAGAAGCACCAAGGAAACCAGGCTTTCAGCTTTCTTAAGGAGAAAAAGAACTGTCCTTTGTTTGTGTTCCAAAACTATTTTCCATGCTATACCTACTTACTCAAATTGAAAACATGATAAAATCAAGACTACTATTTCCAAAAGAAAGGGGATTAATTCAGACTATAAGGAATTATAAAATGTCTTTTACTTAACTTGTTAAGAATGCCTCTAATAAAAACGTAAGAGAACTTTCCACCCTATCGTGAGGAGAATTTCATTAAGGAATGAAAATAAAAAGCTAATGCACACATGTACCTTTGCAAGTTTAGAACATATCAAATTAGTAACCAGAACACATGAAGAAGATCCAGAAAACCCGCAGATTTCCAGAGAACCAGGCCCTGCAACACAGTTACAGATGACTGGCATCCCGTAAAGGAAGTGTAGACATCAAATACACTTAACTTAAGGAAGATGATACTTACTATTCCAAAACTAAAATCATTTCTGAGGGAGTCTCATAAACTTCATGTAAATTAATGACCCAAGGATTGTCCTGCGCTAGTTCAAGTACAGCAATCTCATGAATTATTTCCATCCGACAATCTTGGCCTTTTCTTCTTTTTCTCATGAACTTTGCAGCAAATTCTTTCCCAGAATCTTTCTTTATACATTTCCTCACCACTGCAAATTTTCCCCTAGAATGAAACAAAACATTTTCTGTTAATTAAACGTTGACAACTTTCCAAAGACAGTAAATTTTAGTAAAATTTCAAAATATCCACTGGTAGATAATTCAAATTTAGCTCATATTCAATCACAAAAGTAGCTATATCACTTAGAAACATACACAGGCTACATCTGTAGATTTACGGATTTATCAGATAAAAGATAACATGTAAATCTGTAAAATTAATATTTCTAAGTAGAGAATAACCAAACCAAAAGATCAATATCTTTTTGCAGTTATAAAAAAAACCTCAGTTTCTTTTTTTTTTTTGGCCGCGGCCGGGTTTGAAACTGCCACCTCTGTATATGGAGCTGGCATCCTACTCCTTTGAGTCACAGGCACTACCCCATTTGACTTTTTAATATAAATTAGTCACCAGAATTCCTAGTATGATAAATTTCACTGTCACTAATTGACTCTAAAGAATATTATTACCTTCTAAAATTATAAAAGTTAAGGATCTCATTTATATCGTCTCATTCTAATTACAGTATCAGCTGAAAATGTCTCCTTTTCCTATAAAGACAGACAACAATCATTACCTTAGTATACTATAATTTGTCATTAAACTATAATAAGACCAAACAGGGGAACTGTATAGCTTACTGATCAAAGGTATGAGGTGTAGAACTAGACCTACATGAGTTCTTATTCCACAAGTGCCACCTGACACACAACCTTTGGCAATTTATTTAACCTCCTCAAGTCTCATTTTTCTTATCTGTATAACGGGACACAATGGCGTCTACTTCACCAGATTCTGAAATTACAGTATACAGCACATGTCAATTGCTCACACAGTACCTGCCACACAGTAAGTGCTCAGTAAGAAGATCACTAATCACACAAATCATTACGTTGTGATAGCCAACCCCATAAATATCCACTGAATCCTTCGGTAGGAAGGCAACCTAGAGATCACGTAATTTTTTTTCTAAGATTCAGAAGCTGTGGAAAGGGGGGGAAAGAAAGATTTTTTTTTAACCTAACACCATATGCCAATGTCTTAATTCCAAACTATGAGGTAATATTGGCCCAGTAGTAGAAGAGATTATTTTAACAAGGTTTCACTAAAGCCTGACTTCTGCAGAAGGGCTGCAGTCTGGGTCCTCAGCTGAGCAGTACAGAACGGACCCACGGGCATTTCCATATGACAGTCTCACAGATAGCAAGACAGTGAGCACAGTCTGTCGGCTGCCACTCCTTCCCTTTCTCAGTGTCCTGATTCCTCACCCGCATGAGGTTTTTTGACCTCCTCACTATTAATAGCTCATCAGAAAATATACCACCAAATCTGAAGCATACCAGGTACAACTGGATCAAAGTGCCATATCATAATTCTGCTTATGTTGGTACAATACAACTTAATATTGCTTGTTTAAAAAAGCTAGACAGGTTTTTCATATTTCACATTGCGCTGGAGAATAAATTATGTAAATTTTTTCCCCCTTGAATTTTTGTCAAGTCAGTATCCTCATACTATATTTTAAAACATTTTCCAGGCTCGGCGCCTGTGGCTCAAGCGGCTAAGGCGCCAGCCACATACACCTAAGGTGGCAGGTTTGAATCCCCAGCCCGGGCCCACCAAACAACAATGATGGCTGCAACTAAAAAATGGCCGGGCGTTGTGGCGGGCACCTGTGGTCCCAGCTACTTGGGAGGCTGAGGCAGGAGACTCGCTTGAGCCCAGGAGTTGGAGGTTGCTATGAGCTGTGATGCCATGGCACTCTACCCCACGGGGATAGCTTGAGGCTCCGTCTCAAAAAAAAAAAAAAAAAAAAATTTCCAAAAAGTTAAACACAAGGCTGTACTTTGCCCTGTTAAGTTCTAACTTCTAAGTTTTGGTCTAGGATTCTAGATGCTGGCATAATTCGGAGTACTAATTCTTCCTTCCATTTATTTTTAACTGCAAATATGATTATTGTGCCCTTTAAATTTTTGTTACTATTAGTAATAAAAATGTGGAATGAGAAATCCTCAGGCATGCCCCTATAGCTGTTCAATTTGGTAACTATCTAGCACCTTATTCGTATCAAAGTTCTTTTATTCATAGAAATATGAAAGATTTCTATAGATACTAGAGAGTATTTTATGTTACTTTTAACTATAAACAAATGAATCAAAGACTAATACCATGCTTTATGTTATCCCACTGAATCATTAGGCCAGTATCTCCATCAAGTTTTAGAAAATGTCCAATGACCTTTGGATTTGTCTAAGAAAAAAAACAATTTGATTTTTCTCATACCTATATGCCAGAAGTTTCAAAAGAGAAAGTTTAATTTTTAAAAACTGATCTGAAATGAAGCCTCAACAAATAATTGGCAGTGAACCTGTTCCTGGTAAATGAGAAGTGACTCAGCTGAATGGCCCTCTGAGCACTCCCACATTAAACACACAAATGTTGATTGTTGCTACACCTAAGATTCAAAGCAACACAGTACTGTGAAGTAAAACACGACTTATTATCTAGCCTGAAAGTATATTTTTGAAGGCCAGAGGTAAAGACAAGTGACTCAGCAAACAGAATTGGATTCACACAGGGCTAAGGTGTGACCTCTGACAACCTGCTCCAGAACAGCCACTGTTAGAAGGCCCCCCTCCCCACTTCCAGTGGTGCCGAGTGCAGTCCCTGCAGCCCTCCTTGCACAGGATGACTGCTCTGACCCCACCTTTGTTTCCGTGGAAGCACCCTTCACAGCTCAGGTTTCTTCTTTCCATCCTATCCTACTATATTGGAGGGCAGCAAATTTTTCTGTAAAAGGCAAGATAAAAAATATTTCTGGCTTTGTGGGCTAAACATTCTCTGTGGCATCTACCTGAGTCCACTGCTGTAGAGCGGAAACAGCCACAGACAAAAGGTAAACGGATGAGCGCGGCTGGGTTCTGAGAGCACTTTGTGGACACTGCAACTTGAATTCTATATGATTGATTTTCATGTCATTAAATATTACATTTACTTGGATCTTTTCAAATATTTAAAATGTAAAAGACATTATGAGCTTGGGAGCTATACAAAAATAGGTGGCTGGGTGTAGTTTGAAGGCCCCTGCACCATCCCACGCTGAAGAAAACTCTTCCACTGTTTTGATTCTACATCCCACTAACACTGACAGGAAGACAGCAGGTCACGCTGACTTTAGTGAACATGTATGCCTTTGTCCCTAGGTGAATGGTGCAACGGAGGGGGACCCTTACCACTGCTTGAGAGGTCAGAAGGAGATTTCTGAGTTGCCTAAATATCATACCCCAAAAGAGTTCCAATGTGCATACTTTGGGCTGGAAATGGTGGCTCATGCGTGTAACCCTAGCACTTTGGAAGGCCCACGTGGGAGGATCACTTGAGGCCAGGAGTTCAAGAGCAATGTGAGCAAAACTATCTCAAAAAAAAATTAGTCAGGCACCAGCTGTGCCTGTAGTCCTAGCTACTAAGGAGACTGAGGCAGGAAGATTGTTGAATGCAGGAGTTGGAGGCTGCACAGAGCTATAACTGCACCACTGCCTTCCAGCCTAGGTGAGACAACAAGACCCCATCTGTATTTTTTTTAAAAGTGCATGCTTTATCGTGGCTTCACGGTGAAAATTGTGACAGCATCATAATCTTTAACCGTAGGCTATTGAGGCCTATAAAACATTTAAAAAATGATGTTTCTCTGACATTGGGGGGGGGGCACAGTTATATATAAACATCTATAGTTTACTATTATGCACAAAACTGAGAACTCCAGTTCTCACTAAACATTTTGGGATGAATGTCAGAAACGAATACATTTTAGAACTACTCAATGAAAGCATATTCCAGAGTGACAAAAAGGGAAAGATACACGAATTACAACAAGAGGAAGAGACGATTGAACTGGGCCCACCAGTGCACATTTGCTTCGAACAAGGATGGAATTTTATTCATCTTTGCATTACCAGTGCTCAACACAGAGTTCAGGTAGGCAAGTATCTTTTTTAGTTTTTGCAGATAGAGCCTCCCTGTCACCCTGACTAGACTGTAGTAGAGTCATCATACATCAGACTCCTGGGCTCAAGTCAAGAGATTTTCCTGTCTCAGCTTCTCAAGGACCTGGGAATGAAGGCATTCACCACCAAACCCCAGCTAAGTTTTCTATTTGTTTCAATTTTTTGAAGAGATGGGGGTCCCATTCTTGATTAGGTGATCTTCCTGCCTCAGACACCCAGAATGTTAGGATTACAGGTGCGAGCCACTGTGCCTAGCCTGGTATGGCTCTTTAGATAGGTATAACTTGCTACGGAAGTTTGGGCTCTATCAGACTTAAAATAGGCACCTATTAGAATCCTTGAGATGATTGTTTAAAAAAGATAATTCTGATAGTATGTAAAGAGTGATTGCCAAATGACAACTAGAAACTAGGAGGCCAATAAAATAGTTCAAGGCAATGGGCTTGAACTCAAAAGGGGCAGCGGTGGAGACTGGGAAGACAGATTCAAGGTCAGGATCTACGAGTCCTCCCTCATAGATTCGAGTTGTAGGCAGATATGGGAGAAAGGAAAGGTAGAAGACAAGGGCAACTTTTCGATTTTTATATGGGTACTATGTAAATGTGATACTATCAACTGAGATAAAGATTATAAAAATATTTACAGATTTTTGGCGAAAGATCAAGTGTTAGGTTTTGGATAGAAGTTTGAGACGCCTTTCTTAGCCTGGAGATTCTCATTTACTGGATGGATTCTGAATATAAGTTTTAGTATTGGGTTATAGGCAAAGGTAAAGAGATAATATATAAGGTACAGATAAACGTTAGAAAACCTATAGTGGTATCCATAGGAAGCAAAATAACGTCCAAGATCCCACTTTATTCTAGATTATAATAAAATGCTTTATTTATACCTTTATTACATCATTTATATCAACATGACATATTTTAGTTTTTATGTACGAATGGCTGTCTCCCCAGCTAGACTGACAGTTCCAGGGACCTCACTTATTCATCTTTA